CCCCCCAGCCCAGGCCCCCTACCCCCCAGCCCCGGGCGTCCCCTATCCCACCAGCTCCGGGTACCCCCCTACTCCCCCAGCCCAGGCCCCCTACCCCACCAGGCCCTGCCCCCTCCCCACCAGCACCTGGTGGGAAGTGTGGGGCCACTTCCACCCGCCAGGACAGGCATTCGGGGGCCCCTGATTGTTGCCCCCTCCTCCTGGAGCCTTCCGCTGCTCCGTGGCCATGTGGGCCTTCACTCCGCCTCCCCCACAGAGGGGCCTAAGTGTCCTCTGACCAGAAGGCGAGGAGGGCAGGTCAGAGCACGGCCGACCCGCTGGCTGATTCTGGTGGCAGGAGCCAGCTCTCCCTCCCTCCCACCGGAGGTCGGGTCCTGCCGGAGGGCCAGCGGCAGTGTGTGGCCCAGGCGTGGGTGGGAATGCTGGGCGAGAAGGGAGGCTCCCAGCAGCCCGGGGTACCATGTGGAGGTGACCAGAAGGGGACGTTGCCGCCTGTGCCTCTTACGAAGAGCTGTTGCTGTCTGAGCAGGAGCCACCTGCAGCCGGCGCCCTACGGACCCGTCCTCTCGCCCATGAACAAAGCGCACGGGGGCATCAACAAGCTCCCGTCCGTGAACCAGCTGGTGGGCCAGCCTCCCCCACACGGCTCGGCAGCCGGGCCCAACCTGGGCCCCGTGGGTGAGTGGCCCGGGCGGTGGCGGCGCAGAGCGGGCCGGGGAGGCACACAGGGGGAGTCTGGCTTGAGACGCTTCTGTGCAAGGCTCTCAGTGGCTGCCTCCCACCAGCAGCCCCTGTCCACGGGCAGGGGCACAGCCGCGGACAGTCCCGTCCATTCCGCATCTCGGGGAGATCCCCGTCGTGCAGAGCAGGGGGGACCCGGGCCAGCTGCCTCTGACCGTCCCACTTGCACTTGCCCAGGCCCCGGCGTTCTCAGCAACCACGGCCACACCCTGCCAGCCAACGGCGAGATGAACAGCGGCCACGGCGCCCAGTCCATGGTCTCGGGGTCCCACTGCACCCCTCCACCCCCCTACCACGCCGACCCCAGCCTGGTCAGGTACGTGGGCTGCTGCTGGGCCCTGCCACGAACCCACTGACCTCAGCCCCTTCGCGGCCGCCGGCCAGCGTGGCCCCCGGCCCTGAGGGCAGTGCCTGCACGCTGTCCCGTCTGTCCTCACGTCCACTCTGGCACCATGAGGATGGACACGGGCAGAGGAGAGGTCAGGAGTGAGCATCCAGCAGGTGCTCGGGGGCACAAGACACAGGGTTCCGTGGAGGCTGAGCCCTGGGCTGAGCACATCGCCAGCGGCCCCCGCTCCCACCGGGCCGTGCAGCCGCGGGCTTGGAAGTTAGTGCCGCTTTATTTCCCACGTTGTCTCTGCAGTTTTTTAACAGGATTGGGGTGTCCAAACTGTATCGAGTATTTCACCTCCCAAGGCTTACAGAACATTTACCACCTGCAGAATCTGACGATAGAGGTAGGAGCCCCGCCGGCCGGCCCAGAGGCCAGGGCCCTGCGCGAGGGCAGAGCCATTCTCCAATTTCTGGGTCACTCTCTCCTGTTCTGAGGGAGGGACGGTGGGGAAATCTGGAAAATGCTTGTTCCCACGGCCGAGCTCAACCAACTGCCTCACGTCCACCTTCCTGTGGAGTCAGCTCTCCAAGAGTCGTGGGGGAGCCGGGCTTCTTGGGCAGTGTCTGGACAGGACGCCTGCCCGGGCCCTGGCAGTGGGCTGCGAACTTTAACTTGGCTGGGAAGCTGCTCGCACACACCCAGCGGCCTGGCTGTCTTTGATTTGGGGAACAGGCTATTTATAACTATCCAGAGTTGTGAAGGTCAAGGCCGGAAGGGTCTTGGAGCTGGTGCTTTTCAGTGCCACTTACATGGGGAGAAACTGAGGCCCAGAGAAGGCAAGTCACACCCGTGCGTCCTGGGTTCAGATTGTCTGAGGCTAGAAGCAGCCACGACTCACCTCTGGGTCGGACGAGAGTGCCACCACTGAGCCCCTTCTAAACCATGACAGTCTTCACCTGCTCGCAGCCTAGGGCTGCCTTGAGCTATAACATACCATTACCAGGGCGGTGCGGGCCTGCAGAGCCCCGGAGACGCAGAGGCAGGCCCAGGTCCCAGGGTGGGGGTGGGGGGCACTCCTGCTCTGTTCCCGCTGTTCTGTTCCCCGCACCACTGCAGGCAGAGGTGCAGTCTGCGCGAGGGGCCGGGGCCACTTGCTCAGCGGTGGTGATGTGCTGTGCCCACCGCTGCCCTCCCCTCCCCTGTCCCCACTGACGCCTGCTGGCCTAGCTCAGTGCATGTTACCCCCCACCCTCCCGCCCCCGCCGTGTGGCCAGTGTGCTTGTCTGGTGGCGGGGAGGCGACAAGGGGCTTGATGATCTGCTCTGGTCCCGAGGGGCCGGCAGCCGCCAGGGCGTGCAGCGGAGGAGCTGCAGAGCCCAGGAATGACTTCACCCCTGCACGGGTGCGCGTGTGCGTGTGTGTGCGCGCGCCCGCGGGACACCTCCCCCACCTTTAGCTCTCCGGTCACCCGTGGCCTCGCCAACGCAGCGCCCGCGGCTCCGTTTCCACCTGCCGGAGGGGCGGGGCCTGGGGCGGGGCCTCTAACGGCGGCCCTTGCAGGACTTCGGGAACCTGAAGATCCCGGACCAGTACCGGATGACCATCTGGAGGGGCCTCCAGGACCTGAAGCAGAGCCACGACTACGGCGCCCAGCAGCTGATCCGCTCCAGCAGCAACGCCTCCACCATCTCCATCGGCAGCTCCGGGGAGCTGCAGCGGCAGCGGGTCATGGAGGCCGTGCACTTCCGCGTGCGCCACACCATCACCATCCCCAACCGCGGGGGCCCGGGCGCCGGCTCGGGGCCCGACGAGTGGGCGGACTTCGGCTTCGACCTCCCGGACTGCAAGTCCCGAAAACAGTCCATCAAAGAGGAGTTCACGGAGAGCGAGATTAACTGAGGGGCCGGGAGGGCGCGGGGGGCGCGCGGCGGGGGGCGCGGCGTCCGAGCCCCTGGGCGGCCTTGCTCGGGCTCCCCTTCCTTGTTGTCACAAACTGCCTCGGGAGGCAGGACGGGCAGGCCGTGCAGGGCGACGAGGCGACGGCCGCCCCGCGGCCCCGGGACGCGAGCTGGGCGGGCCGGCCGCCTGCCGCATCCGCCCCCCCGCCGGCTCCGCTGCTCCCCAGCGAGCTCCTTCGGGATACAAGGATGGCCGCTGCCGACGGACTGCCGAAAAGTATTTTCCGATGTCTTTTGTTTCCTGGCAACGAGTGGTTCCGTGATTGTGTCTAAAACACGTTTATTTCGGGGTCAGCTCTCCAGACCCTGTCTCTGCCCAAGGCTGGGTCCCTCTGCTGGACTTGAGGGTCCGCCTAGCCCTCCCACTTCAAACCCACTGCAGCTGCCTTACATTTCCTGCCCCAAAAAAGGAAAACCGGAATTTCCTTGGAATCAGAGACGACTGGGGAGGAGGGCGTCCCTCCCGGGAGGCAAGGAAGCTTCTGGTCAGTTGCCACCAGCCAACACCCGAGCCAGCACCACTGGCCACGGCCACAGCCCTCCCGTGAGCTTCTCAGCACAGACACGGACAGCATGCTCCTTAGACTACTGCAAATTGTCAATATTTGATAAAATGATACCCTTCGTACTTGGTGGGTCAGCTTTTTTTTTCCCCCTTTCATTTTTAACATCTCCTTTAGGGTTTAGCCTGGCGGCATCCCTGGCTCCCCAGGTGTGTGTAAACAAGCTGGACTAAGAAAGCAGAGGGCGAGCCAGGCAAGGGCCGTCTGCTGGGCCGGGGGTGGGGGGTGGGGGGTGGAAGAGCGAGGCAGGCCCAGCCGCTGGGAGGCCGGGAGGGAGGCCCTCCGCTTGGGACAGCTCCAGTCCGGTGGCCACTGTGGCTAGTTGGGGGTAGGGCCGCGGGGAGAGCCCCTCCCAGGTGGAAGGAGCAGTGGGCAGGAAGGCGCACCTGTTGGGGGCTTGGAGGGAGGCGGGGGAGGGGACACAGGCTGTTAGGAGGCGCCCCAAGGGCTGGGGCTGGGGCCATTTTCATTTGCCGGGGCCCCAGTGCCCTGTCCAGGGCAGGAAACAGGACCACAGAGAGACATGGGGGATGAGCAAACCCACTTGTTCCAGGCAGGCAGATACAGGGCCGCCTGCCCGACGTGTGAGCCGGAGACTCCTTGGGCACCACCAAAGGCACTTCCCAAGCACAGCCTGGCTAAGCCTCCAGGTGAGGGGAGGGTGTAGACGCAGCCCTGATCTTCCTTTGGGTTTGTTCTTGTTGCGGTGAACCACCCAGAAGATGGCTCCCTTCCCGGGGAAGATGGACCAGCCTCCCTTCAGGCTGCGTGTTCGGAGGAGCTCAGCGCGATCCTGCTCCATGCTGAGTGAGCTGGCTTCTTAGCTGTCCACACTGCGAGGGGGGCGGGAATTACTTGTTTCACAGCGTTTCAGAGACTGGCCAGCAGAGGGAGGGAGCCCATCCCGACTCCCTGGCGGAGACCAGAGCCAGCGTCGCCCCAAGTCCGCTCTTGGGCCCGTCTCCAGACAGGACTTCATCCTGGAAAGTCATGTCCATACACGTTCACGGTCTACACTTACATAAAAGCGCAGTGCGTGCAGACAGGAGTGCCTGTGTCTAGGATAACGCAGCCATCCTCCCCTCCGCCGCGCACTCCCTAGGGAACCGCCTGCCAGGGCATCAGCGCCCCCGGGAGGCCCTGACCTCCCGCCAGGGCTCGGGGCCACAGGACCAGCTCTTTCCAAAGGGCAGCAGGCTCTGCTCACGAGAACAGAGGTGTCCGTGCCCACAGGGACCTGCTTCCCCTTTGTAGTCACAGGGCCCGTGGACTCACGACCACTGTGGGTGCGTGTGGCTGCCTCCCACCCCCGTTTTCTCACTACCCACCCCAGGCTGGGAAAGGAAGTACACTGCCCTTGCCATTTCACAGACGAGTAAACTGAGGCTAAGTCTAGAGTCTTGGCCATCACAGCTGGGTGGAGTCTGGCACTCGCTCCAGTGGCCATATGCTGGAGCCCCCCAGTTGTGCCCCTTTGTCCCACCTCAGGAGCTGGGGGCCAATCCCCCAACTCGCTGGGGTCCATGAACCTGGCTGAGACTTGGTGGCTCCTGGCTCTGTCCCCTGGGCATGCTCCTGGAGGCCAGAGTCCAGCAGGGAATGCCACACGGCGCCCACTGTGTGCCCCAGGGAGGGTCAGCTCGAGGGAGGAAGGGGGTCCTGCCCGTGGGGGGCCCGGCCGCCTGGTGCTCCTCAGACCCCTTGCACGGCCCTGGGGCCTTTATCCCACTGTGCTGGGGGAGGAGCACAGCGGGGGAACGCGGAGCAGCAGCTCTGTGTGCTCAAAGGAAAATGCAGATCGGCAGGAGCCACGATCCCTAGATTCTAGACTCTGGTTCTACAAAACCCCAACATCCAGAAACCTTTAAGGTGTGAAGAGGTGGAAGGGACGCTCTCACTGGGAAGCAGCCTGGGGAGTGGGGTGGGCCTCGCTTCACCGACACCAGCCACACGGGGGCGAGAGAGCGGGCGTTGCTGCTGCCTCCGCCCCCCCTGCCCCCCCTGGCCCCCAGCCTGCTTGTACCAGGGACTGGGCAGTGCATCAAGGTCAAGTCGCTCGCAGACAGCCGCTTCTCTGTCTCCATAGGCTAAAGCACTTTAGCGCTTTAAGGTTAAAAAAAAAAAATACCACTCATATTTTTAATGTCATGAATGCTTCCTCAAGCAGTATTAATGGATCTCTTCCAATGATAATGGACTTCTTTTGGTAATGTAACCTTGGGAAAATGTGTTATTTTTTTAGCTGTGTTTTGGTGGGAAATTTTGTTTTCGTAACATAATAAAGCCGAGTTCCAAAGGCCGTCTCTGGATAACTCCTCCAGGACACCAGCGTGCCCTCCACGCCAGGCTCGCGCAGCCGCACGGGGTTTCTCCCGTGCTTGCAGTGGGACGAGCCCACCGGCACCCCCCCCCCCTTCGCAGGGCTGTGGGCTCAGTGTGTCCACAGTCACAAGAACGGCTTGGGGGGCAAACACAGGGCCCCGTCCCTGCAGAGCTGGCGAAACTCACAGGCCTGACTGGGGCCTTGGCCTGACATCTGAGGCCTTCCGAAGCGCAGGCTCCCCGGCCGCGTCATCCGAGCATTGTGGGGGCCGGGGATCTGGACTTCAGAAAGGTCACGCGGGGCCCAGCCAGGTCACAAATTACCTCCCCGCAGCCTGGAGTCCAGCACATTCACGTTTCCCTGCAAAACTTAGGAAAAGACGGCAGAAGAGCGGACGGACATCTGTTCAACTCGGGCTGGAGGCCACGCGGGCCTACTCCCGTGCCCCCAGCCATCAGGTTTCTGCATTTCAGAACTCGAGAGTCAGGGGCTCCCGTGCCCCCAGCCATCAGGTTTCTGCATTTCAGAACTCGAGAGTCAGGGGCGCTGCCCCAGCAAAATAGGGCTCTTGAATCTGCTCAACCTGGAGGGAGGCCCAGGTGTTTTTAGACACAGGCTGAATCTAAGCACAAGATAAAAGGGACAAAGGCCAGATGGAACCGTCCCCACACTCCTCGGGCTCGTACCGAGGCAGGAGCACCACACGCAGGCAGGTCAGGAGACATCAGGCAGGGTCAGGCGGGGCCGGGAGAGGCCAGGCGGGACTAGGTGTGCCAGCCTGGGCCCCAGCTACACCTTTCTGGTCGGGCCCATTCATTTCCTTTGAGCAAAACCTGTTCATCCGTCTCCCCAGGTGTTGTGTCCCGGGGCCCAGTGTGGCGGGCTGAGCAGAACGTGCCCTCACCCCATCACTGAGACGGGAATCCCAATCACCCCGACACCTCTGACCTGGGTGGGAAACAAGACTTGGGGCGTTTGAATAAAGGCGGCCTCTGAGGAAGTGGACGCCGTGTGACAGTTTCAGCACAAGGGCGCTTTTAGTATCTTCCTTCAGAAAAGTAGGGTATGAGCATGATGGCCAATTACTTTCAAATATATAAAAAACAACACCTACAGTATGTCCGCTGTGTAAGGTAAGGAGATAATCTGGGCTCAGAGCAGGCCCACCACTTTGCAAGGCTCTCTGGTCCCGGAGGGTGTCCCTACCACCATTAGCTGCTAAAAAGAGAAGAGAGGGCCTGCTTCTGAAGCGTGTTCCCTGCCCCTCGGGAGGAAAATGGTGTCCGTTCATTCCCCCCTCCGACCTCCAAAGGGAGCCCATATTCAGGGAAGAATAACAAAGTGGGTTTGCATACAGTGTCAGGATATTTCATCCCATCTCTCAGGAGAGCGCTGTGCATTATCGTACGCAGACACATGTCTTCACGGTTCAAGACATCTGTCTGGTTTTTATTGTTTTTATTTTTTTTTTAATTTTGAGAATTATTTTGAGAAATATTTTGAGAAACAGAGAGAGTGAGCAGGGGAGGGGTGGAAAGAGAGGGAGAGAACCCCAAGCAGGCTCCGCACGGTCAGTGCAGGGCCCATCGTAGGGCTTGATCCCACGAACAGTGAGATCATGACCTGAGCCGAGATCAAGAGTCTGGCGCTTAACCGACTGCCCCCCAAGGCGCCCCAACTGTTTGGTTTTTAAATACCGCTACCACTGCCCAAAATGCCCTTGTGGGACCTGTAGCCTGCTGTTTGCACGCGGCATTTAGTTTAGAATATGCCCCACCAACCTCCAGCTCTGCTTTCTAGAATCAATGCTATCAACACCTGTCTACATCTCTGCCACAAGAGAACTGAAGAAAAGGGGCTTGTTGGCAAACTGAACTGCACAAATGCCTCCAGCGAGCACGGCTGGCAGTGCCGGACTCCGAGGAAGGACGCAGCCCCGGGTCAAGCCAGAAATCAGCCAGAAATCACAAACGCCACGAGCCCAACACTAGTAAGATTTTCAGAGTGCTGATGTGCTGAGCTCCCTCTGCAGCTGACAGTGCTGGGTCTGGGCCGGCAGGGGGCCCAAGGGTGGCCCTGGGGACATGGGGACATTCTGGGGGCTGGTCACATAGGTTGTTCAGTTGGTAAAAATGCGTTGAGCTCAGGTACTTGTCTGCGTACGTGGCTGCGTACCAATGTGTGTTTCCTATGTACGTTACGCTTCAGTTAAAAGGGTGCAAACTCTCCTACGGAGGAAGCCACCGGGAAGACAGCACCATAGACCATTAAAAACTACACAATATCCCGGCTTTCCAAACACATACAAATTTTAAAAGCTGATGAACACACGTAGGTAATAAAGACGAGACTATTATCGCACTATAGCATTCAGCTGAACAGGTCAGAACGCTGTATGCGCATTAACAAGTCAGGATTAATCCTTCTTAACACATTCTTAGGACCAGAATTCCCGTTACGAGCAGAGCAGTTAGGGACTTGGGAGAGTCACGGGTGGGCGGGGACCACAGGTCGCCCCTGGGGCCCAGCAGCCAGCTCCCCATCCGCAGACACTGGAGGACCCAGCCCCGCTCCCCGGGGGCTGGCTGGACTGCACCTGACACCAGATGGCGGCAGGTGCAGAAGGCTGTCCCCCCAGTGTTAGGCTCAGCTGCTGGAGATACGGCCACCTGACGGGCTCACGTTCCCCTCGGCTGGCGCGCAGTTAGGGAGCCCGCACGGAGAGCTCAGCCGGGCTCTGCGCTCAGAACTCCTCGAATCCAGCCCCGCTGCCGCTCTGTCTGGGCCTGAACTACTGCTATGCCCCTGCCCCCACCCGGGCCCCCCTGCCTCCTGCCCCTGGGCTCCTTCGGTGGGGTCTTCCAAAGCGGTGCGAGGACCTGCTGGAGAGATGCCTGCAAAACTGCAGCCGGCCTTCCAGGCACGGCCCCCAGGGGCTTCCCAAAGCACGAGCCACTTGGCGCAACCCGAAGCCTCTGTGCCCACTGCTCTGACCCTGTTTGTACTGCACTCCAGCCAGCTCCACGGCATTGCTGTTCCGGGAACAAGCCACAGGGGGCCTACTTCAGGGCCTAAGAGGACTTCGTTTCCCCTCTGTCGGATACCTGCAGGACCAGCTCACCCACTCAGGTCCCTGTCCCGATGCCCCCTCTTCAGAGGCTTCTCCCCCACTCTTCCCATGACTCCTCTTCGAGGAACCGAGTGCCACTGACGTTCCACTGCACTCGTCTGTCCACGGAATTGAGTGGCTGAGGAGGACCCTGCTGCACGGGGAGGGGGGGCGGGGGGGCATGACTTCAGCGCTTAGAGCGGTGCCCTCCGGGGCAGGTAATAAGGGAACATCCGCTTCCTCCTCTCCAGCCTCCCACCGCCGCCCCCACCCCGCGCGCTGGCCCATCACTCGGCTCCTTCTACGTCACCAAGCTCAGCCCCAACAACGTAGAGCAAGTGGCACACAGAGTTCTTACAGCCCTTCACCTCCGAAGGAGCGCTCGCGGCCGCACCCTGCCCCACGGTCGGCCGGGCCGCGGCGGCCAGGGCCCCGGCCCCGAACGGCCTCTGACGGAGGTGGTTGCTGCACCTGCTTGACGGGCGCCTGTTCGCTGGGAGAGCAGGAGACACGGAAGGGGCCGGCAGAGCAGACGTGCCACTGCGCGCGGAGGCGCGGACGGCACCGCGAGAACGCGACGGAGCGGCCCCCACCCGCGACGGGGTTGAGACGGGAGTGGGAGCGGGCTACGAGGCTGGACGGCCCGGAGCCCTCCCTCAGGACCAGGTCCCAGCGCGACCCTCCCGCGGGCACCGGAGACGGAGGTCCGCACAGGCTCCTGCCCACCCGCAGCCGGCGTGCGTCCTCCCGCAGACGCCCATCGATTTAAAGCCCGCGCGCCCCGCACCGACCCGGAACCGGAAGCGCGGGGAAGATCAGGAGCAAGGTCTAGGCCACGAGCCAGTCCAGGCTTGGGGCGTGGCTCTGAGCGCGGGGCGGGGCCGGAGCTGCTCGGGAGGGGCGGGGCCTGCGCGGGGCGGGGCAGGAGCACTTCCTGGAAAGGCGTGGTTCCGGGCGGGGCGGGGGCGGGGCCTTAGGTGCTGGGGTGGAGCCTGGGCCCGACTTGGGCGCGTCTTGGAAGGGCGCGGTTCTGGACTCCCGCTGGGCCTGGGCGTGGGCGTGGAATGACTGCCTCCGTCTCCAGGTCCCCGAAGCCCTCACCTCCGGGCGGTGGCTTTGCGCTTATGTCCCTGCGGAGCCTCCCCCCTACGGGATTTCCATGATGAGCGACAGGGCTTTTTCAAGCATTAGTGTCTAATTTTTGCAAAAATTGGCTTTGCAGTTAAAGTTTTTTTTTACATTTATTTATTTATTTTGGAGAGACAGAGAGACAAAGCACAAGTGGGGGCGGGGCAGAGAGAGAGGGAGACACAGAATCCGAAGCAGCTCCAGGCTCCGAGCTGTCAGCACAGAGTCCCACTCGGGGTGCGAAGTCAGAAACGGTGACATCATGACTTGAACAGAGGTCGGAGGCTTAACCCACTGAGCCACCCAGGCGCCCCTCTTCTCTACCTTTTTAATCTGCAAGCAGAGTCATGGCGATTCTGTTGGGAACTCTGCCTTATCAAGCAGCCGCCTGTTTTGTTCATCTGCCCCTGTGACCACTGGACGGCACATCTTGTACGACCGCCGGGCGGCAGGCTTCGTGAGAGGAGGGACCCAGTGGAGCTGGTGTTGACTGTCGCCCAGCCAGAGCGCCGGGCGGGCCCGGGGGAGACACACGTGCTTGTCAGGGGAGAGGAGTCCTCCTCCGGGCTCGCATCGATTAGGAGCGGCTGGTGTGCTAGGCACCTCCTGGCATTGCACACGTCATCAGTAGTTTAGTTACCAATCTGTAAGAATGAAGTTGTTTATCACTGCATCATGTGGATCTTGTCTCCACGGGTCTCCATACACCCAAGGGTCGTGTAGGGTAAGTTGACTTAAAATAGAGGCCAGCAGCGGGGCTGAGTTACAATTTCCGGAGGCCCCTTGGAGAGTCGCGGCCCTGCTCATGGATGCTGAACAGGTGCAAGAGGGGAGCCAGCTGCCAGGGGTGCGAGGGGCTTCGTGCCACAGCGTGGGCGGAGAGGAAGGCACGGGGTGTGCAGCGCAGGGACCTGGAGTCCGCAGAGGAGGACCATGAAGAGCTGCTCTGGGGTCCGTGACGGGAGTCCGCATTTTAACAAGCTGCCCTTGGTTCATCTGAACTCCAGGCTCGCGGAGCTGCTGGAGCCGGGAAGGGCTGTCCTGCGGGATTTCACGTGCCTCCTCGCCCTGCTCCCCCTCCAAGACCACGGGATGCCCCCATTAGGGGGTGCGCGTGGCCTCAAGGCCCGTCCCCACCTAGGCACTTTCCACGCCACGTCAGGTCCAGGACACTGCGCTGGAGCCCGGGGCCCATTTGCAGCGATCGCCACACGGCTCCCACAACTGCCTATTTTCAGTTCGGCACATCATTGGTAGACCAGTGTCCTGGGGCGGCCGTAATAAAACCCGCAGCCAGGGGGCCTAAACCACAGAAATTATGCTCTCAACAGAAGTTCAATGTCCCCGGAGCCAGCAGAGCCACGCTCCCTGGGGAACCTCCCTAGTTCGGCGGCAAGTCCTTGGCTTCTAGACTCGTTGCTCCCATCCTCTGTCCTCATGTGCTCGTCTGCCTCTGTTTCCCCTTTTCCCACCCTCATGACCTCCACAAAGACCCTGTTTCCAAATCAGGCCACATCCTGAGGTTCTGGGGATTAGGACTTCCACATACCTTTTCGGCGGGGGGCGGGGGGGTAATGTCAATGTGTGTCCCCCACCCCGTGTAATGCAGCACGCCTGGGGGTGTGCTCTTGGGGGGAATCGTGGCCATACTTCCAGGATGAAGGACTGCTAATCAGGGGCCTCGGGGCTCCTTCCTCTTGCCTCGGGACGGCAACCCAGACATTAGTCGTGGAGGTGGAGCCTGACCCACTGCAGCAGACAGAGGCTCTGTCCTTGACCTGATTTTAACCGGACCCCTTGCAGCCCTCTCCCCCATCCATCCTCGGCCAAGCTCCGTTTTAGCAAGAATTCTGCAAGGCCCGTTCTCAGAGTTACTGGACCCTTGTCATCCGACCAGTCTCCTCTTCCCCCCTTGACAGCCAAGCCCTGTGTGTGAGCGCTCAGCCTGCCCCTAGAGAGGACCCCATACACACATCCACGACCCCCTCAGGCTGCTTCTGAGCTGGAGGCCGCACTCGGCAGCCGTATTCAGAGTCAACTTCAATCTCTCTCACCTGTTGTAATCCTTGAATAGTCTTCCTTTCCGTTCTTTTTTTTTTTTTTAATGTTTTATTTATTTCTAGGAGAGAGAGAGAGACAGCATGAGCAGGGGAGGGTCAGAGAGAGAGAGAGTCACAGACTCTGAAACAGGCTCCAGGCTCTGAGCTGGCAGGCAGCACAGAGCCCGACGCGGGGCTCGAACCCACGAACCGCGAGATCACGACCTAAGCGAAAGTCAGACGCTTAACCGACTAAGCCACCCAGGCGCCCCTCTTCCTTTCCGTTCTGACGAGGGTCAGAGTCAGAGTAATTTTTCTTTAATGCGGCCAACGGCGCCCAGCAAGTCAGGCAACACAGCCCAGAAGAGCCGTGCAGTGCTCGGTCCTGGGGCCCGGCTCGCTGCTGTCACAGCGTGACACGTGGTGCCCTCGGGGCCCAGGGCAGCGTCTGGCGCCTGGCAGACACTCAGTAAGTGAGAACACGTGAGCCAAGAAGACGGGGAGAAAAGCAAAGTTAGAACTGATTTGCTTCTGAGCTCTTTGCCATCCAAACTGCTCACGGTGAAGATCAGTGACAGCAGAGGCGGGCGCGATGGTGACCAGTCCCCCGTTTTGTTCTCCTTCTCAACTGCCCAGGTGGCCCGGCCCCCGTAGGGGGGCAAACAGGTACTGAGGCTGAGGCTGCGGGTAGTAACGACGAGCATAGTTAACAACAGGGGATCCTTACTGACTCTGGGCCTGAGCTCTTTATCTATTTTTCCCGATTAAATTCTCACACCAGGTCTGTGAGATGGGTATTATTTTTATCCTCACTGTAGAGATGAGAAAATCAGCCCAGAGAGGTGAAGTGACTTGCCCAAGTCCTAAGAGAATGTGGTTCGCATCCAAACCAGACTGGGTTTCCTGTGTGAACGTGTGTATGCGGGTTTGTGTATATATGGGTGTGAACGGTGTGAGTGTGCACCATGTACGTGAGCACCGTGGACACGTGCCTGGACCGATGCCTGCTGAGAACCGCAGGGCGGCACTCACCGTGCGTTTCGGGCACGTGCTGGCACGTTCGCAGATGTTTAGGGACGAAGAGGGTGGCAAAGGTCCTGTTTCCGCGGAGCTTTCGTTTGCAGGTGGAGCGCATTGTGCTCTAAGTGGGGGATACGGTGCTATCCTATCCGTAACAGGGGACGGGGTGGGGGGCACCTAAATCAACCTGGGGAGCGTTGGCTCCTTGCTGCAGGCGGTGATAACAACGGAAGGGGTGTGGGGGTGAGGGAGCAGGCGTGGCCTGGGGGCGGTAATGAATTTAGAGGGAGTGAATGTAAATGAAGTCCGTCACAAAAACTCAGGGGAGGGGGCGCCTGGGGGGCTCAGTCAGTTGAGCATCTGACTCTTGATTTCGGCTCAGGGCGAGATCTCACGGTTCAGGAGATGGAGCCCCACCCGGGGCTCTGCGCTGACAGCACGGAACCCGCCTGGGACTCTCACCTTCCCTGAAACTAAATAAACAACCTTAAAAATTTTTTTTCAGCCGGACACTGGAGCAGAATCTAGGAGGTAAACCGTGTAAACGCTCCTTACGACTAAAGCCTTAGGGCCCCTAAAATACCTGTAATGTAATGAATGTGAAGCGCTGTTCTGGTAACGATTCGTGTCCTGGGGCTTAAAAACATACCGGACGTGGCGCACGTGGGACCTTCCCCAGCCGCCAGCGCGGCGAGGGGCCATGTCGGAAGGGCAGCTCAGAGCCCGATCCCATCTCGTCCCAGGACAATGTCGTCCCCCCAAAAAGGGACCCTCTGCCTATTGGGAGCCCCCCACTCCCTCAATTCCACCCGCCTGCCCCTGGCGGCCACCCGTTTGTGTTCTGTCTCTAGATCTGTCTGTTCTGGACGTTTCCTACAAACGGAGCCTCACACTCTGGGGTGCTTTGTCTCCGGCTTCTTTCACTGAACAGTGTTCTCAAGGTCAAACTGCAGCTGGAGAAATGTGAGATGGCCCCAGACAGGCTTCCTTCAGGCGGCCGTGTGATGTGGAGACTCGACTCCTTCGCGCCCTTTGCATACCTGGGGCCTGTGTCCCGGGATGTGGGATGTGAGCTTTTCTCAGAAGAGGCTGCTCCCCTCTCCCTGCCCCCACCCCCCCGCCACCGGTTCTATTGTTAAAAAAGAATGACATCTTCCTGTGTTAAGAATTGCTTCTGAGAGGACAGCTTCCTTATGTTTGCACCTATAGGAGGATTAGGAGGAACTTAACAGAGGACGACGGGGGAGAAGAAGGGGGGAAATGGTGGGGGAGAGGGAGGGAGGTAAACGATGAGAGACTCTTGAATGCCGAGAACAAACTGAGGGCTGATGGGGGTGGGCGGGAGGGGAGGGGGGAGATGGGCATGGGGGAGGGCACTTGTGGGGATGTGCACTGAGTGTTATATGGAAACCAACTTGACAATAAACTATTAAAAAAAAAGAATTGCTTCTGGGGCGCCTGGGGGGCTCAGTCAGTTAAGCATCCGACTTCAGTTCAGGTCATGATCTTGCAGTTTGTGAGTTCAAGCCCCGTGTTGAGCTCTGCGCTGACAGCCTGCTTGGGATTCTCTCTGCCCATCCCCACACCTACCTGCTCGTGCTACGTGAGCACTCTCAAAATAAATACACTAAAATGAAAAATATGTATATACAAGAAAAGAAATTTTTCTTAAATTTCGCTATCGGGGCCACCGCAGCACGGCCCGGTTTCGGGTAAGGCCGAGCGCTGACGGTGGGGGTCAGGGACAAGAAAGGACCCGCTGCCTGGGCCTCGGCCGCCTCTCCCGGGGACAGCTTCTGGGCCCCTTCGCGGGCAGGAAGTTAAGACGAATCACAGAAAATTAGGACGGGTGGCGTGGCCTGTTTCCACGGAGACGTCTGTGATGCCACACGCTCCCAGGACCCCACAGGACGCGGGGCTTCCGAAGCCGGGCTGTCCGGCCCGAGCCGGGCGCCAGGTCCTCGCGCGAGCCCCGCTCCCGCAGAGCCGTCCGCCGCAGGCGTCCCTCCGCTGGCGGGCGGTGGACTTCGCGGCCGCCCCCGAGATGCTGCCGGTGGGCGGCGTCCCGAGCAAGAAGTGCGGTGTGGGGCCCGGCCCGATGGAGAAGGGCATGCTGCTGCTCCGCGGGGTGGCCGGCCACGACAGCCACGCGCCCGAGTGGAAGGCGGGCCACAGGCAGCGCTGCCTCAGCAGGTCGGCTCAGGCCATCAGCCGCTTCTACAGGAAGACGGTACGGGGCGGGCGGGCGGCCGGCCTGCTGCTGCCCCTCGACGGAAGGCCTCGGGCGGGTCGGCCACGCGGCCTCCCAGAATCGCTCTGGTGATGGACTCAGAAGGGCAGATTCGGGGGGCAGGGCACGGGCAGCTTGGGGGCCCGCGAGCGGAGACGCACCATCTCCCTGAGCCTTCCTCAGAGGGCCTCCAGGAGAAGCCAGCAGGGAGGGGGAGGGCGGAGAGCGCAGAGCACAACTGGAAGGTTCCTGAATGTACTGTGGGCTCCGGGAGGCTGGGGAGACAACCCAGGGCCCCCAGGCACCCCCCAAGGGGACGCCGCCAGTGTCTCTAGCCAGTGCACGCGCCGCCCCGAAGCTCGCGGTTCCCGGGGAGAAGGGCAGCCGGCCTCCAGGGTCTCCTGTGTCAGAGTCTCGTCCCCTCTCCGCCAGGACGGACGCAAGCAGGACGCCAGCCCCAAGGACACCAGCTTCGCGGCCGAACTGGAGGAGCTGAGAAAGGTGTTCCTCACGCGGCCTAACTGCCCTCGCCTCAGCACCAGGGCCACGTCCATGTGTCAGTGCGGTGAGAGCCACCAGCTGGCGGGGCGGGCGACCTCCCAGAGCGGTGGCTGCGGCGGCTGCTTCCGCGACTCTCCGCGTGTGCAGAAGCCGCACCAGGAACCGGCTGCAGAGGCTGCGGCCGGGGGGGGGAGGGGGGGGGGGGGGGGGGGGGGGGGGGGGGGGGGGGGGGGGAGGAAAGAAGGAAAGGAAAAGCCTCCTGGCTTCTCTCTGGTCTCATTCGGTAGACTCAGTACACTTGGGGGGTGGGGAGAAGGTTGAAAATTCTGGGAGCTGCCGGAAAGGGGCCATGAGGCCAAAGACAGGAACAAGCCCCTGTGAGGAGCCCAATAGCCGCCGCGCCGCCCCGTTCTGACCCCGGAGAACCGGAGGCTTTGAGGGCGCAGCCAGGCGCGCAGCAGTCACCAGGGGGCAGCGTCCCAGCCCCTCAGCCCCAGCCTGCGCTGGGTCCCTGTCCCCGCACAGGACGCTGTCTGGAGGGACAGGGAACCGGAGGCCGGAGCAGGGGCCCATGTTCCTGTCAGAAGCGGGGGCCCCCACCAGCTCCCCCTTGTCAGGGCTGGGGCCTCAGATGGCGGCCGGGGCTCCGGAGCCGGGAGCTGTGGGCCGGGCCGGGCCGGGGGACCACGCTGCGTCCCGCGTGCTGCTTACAGGGAGCCTGCCAGTGACAGCCTGGGGGAAACCGGCTCTGCCCTTTGGGCTCAAGGGGCTTCTGGGAGACGGTGAAGCTGAGCCGTTTTTACAGGAGACGCGGGGTCCTTCCAGGGAGGGGTGCATCCATTCGGAGAGACGGCCGCGGGCGGGAGCACGGAACCGCGTCCCCGTTCGGCCCCAGGGCTCAGGCCCGCACGTCCTTTACCGAGAAACGAAAGCGCGGTCCCTGCTCTGGAGGTCGTGGGCGGGTGCGGCCTCCGCGGCCACCGGCTGGCGTTTCGAACCCCCTGCAGGTTCAGCCGCGTCAGCCAAGCTATCGGAGGAGCTGCGCGTGGCGCTAGATGCCTGGAAGGCGTCCCAGGACCCCTTCCCCAGCCAGCCCGCGGACGGTGAGGGCGGGGCTGCTGGCACTGGGGTCCCCCCTCGGCACGCCCGCCCCGAGGCCTGTGCCTGCACCTCCCCGCCCCCCCAGGCCTCCCGAAACCGCCTGCCTGGCTCTGTGTCCCTTACACGGGGTGGCCCCCTCGCATAGAGCATGCTGTTCCCACACACGAATATGCTTCCTTCCCCTCATCCAAGACAATCCCTGCACGCAGAGGCCTCCTTTGCCTGAACGCAAGGAAACCCCTCAGCAATGTCTGGGCACTGGGCACCAGGTGCCCGGTGGCATCAGCCTGACCCCTGCTGGCCTGACTGCCAGGCTCCGGGGATCTCGAAGGGCCGCTTCCTCCCTTCAGCACATGCACGGGCGGTGGGGAGGCGGGTGATGGCGGTCACAAGGAGGGGGTGTGGCGAGCCCGGCGGGGCAGCCAAGGGTTTCTGAGGGGGAGTCTTGTGGGGGGGACACTCTCTGGAAGGCCCCAGAGCCTCTCAGCATGGGACTAGTCTGACTCCCCCCCCCCCACTTCTCGACAGGGCGCCTCCTTCCCTTTAGTAGGAGCGCCTGTGAGTTCAACTACACGTGGACACAAAGGGACTCCGGGACGGGGAGCCCAGCCCCCAGCAGCCCAGTGCTCGAGCAGAGCCCGCTGAGAAAGCGCATTCCCTGGTTCATCTCCGTCATCCACGAGAAGGTACGGCCGCGCACGCGCAGAGCCCGGGGCGTCCTGCCCCCGGGGCTCTTGTCTGGGGACCCGGTCAGCTGTGCGGGCAGGTCCCCAGACGAGGCCGAAGCTGGACCCCAGCTCCCTTCTTTGGCTTCCACGAATCCGACATTTTCCGAACGCTGAGGGCCCTGTGGCCCTTCCCCCAGCGGGCGGCGGGTTAGGCTGGCGTGGGTCCTGCCTCGTGGCATGCAGCGCGCCACACGAATCGTGGCCTCAACCACTCAATGCCTTTGACCCAATATTTCCACTTGGGAGGATAAATTCTTAAAAATAGTAACGAGCAGCTCAGTGTGCAGAGGGCTACCCACGGGGTGACTCGTCGGCATAGGACCCTCTGCATCCTCCTTTGAGACCGAGGAGGGCCCGCAGTTTCCCTGCCTGGAAATTCTCTTCTTTGCTTGTGGTGTCAGAGTGATTCTGGCCTAGAAACAAACCATCCAGGGGCGCCTGGGGGCCTCGGTCGGTTAAGCGTCCGACTCTTGATGCTGGCCCAGGTCACGATCTCACGGTTCGGGGGTTCGAGCTCCGCAGTGCGGAGTCTGCTTGGGATTCTCCATCTCTCTCTCTCTTTCAACATGAACTTTAAAAAAATTTTAAAAACCAATCGAAAAGTTGGGAGGCATTTTCTCTTTTCCGTTCTCTATTCTCTGGAAGAGTCTGCATGAGATTGGTGAAGAATTCATGATGGAAAATGTGTAGGCCTGCAGAGTCCTCGGAAGGAAGGGTCTCCAAATAATCAGGTCACTTCCTTGGGACGTATTCAGATCTCCTTCTCCCTCGTTTCTGTTTGGGGAAGCTCTGTTTTTCTAGGAATGTGTTCATTTCACATAAATCTTCAAATCTATCAGCCTCATCTTGTACATGATGTGTCTTGTTGCTGCTCTGGTTTCGGCAGGAGAGTGCGCGCCTCTTTTCCATCCCCGATGGGCCGACTCTCGTTCTCTCCTTTTGTCTCCATCTGTCTTGCTAGGCGTTGATCAACGTTCATCATTTTTTCCTAGAACCGGCTTCTGTGGTTGTCTTAAAGCTGGTGAGGCTTCCATGCCCGTCCTGGAAGTGAGCGCCACAAAGTGGTGGGTAGCTGCCAGGCACACACAACCCCGATGCTCTGGGCCCATGAGCGTCCGTTTTACCTTTTATTCCCGAAACTCCGCCTCGACGTTCTCTGATAGACTTCACAACTTTGAAAGTGTTGATATCCTTGGACTACTTTTGGGAAAGCAATTCCACTGGGGGAAAGCCTGAGGCTCTAATTAGATGGAGCCACACAGATCTATGTGAAAGGCTGCTCCCTGCAACATGATGTTCTTACGCAAACGGCCAGAAGGGGAATTACAAGCTGGCGGCTGTGAACCGGCCTGAGGAAGGGCTGCAGGCTTGGCTGCCTCCAGGAGCTCGGAAGGCGACCTTTGGGTGGTCTTTCCCTCATCTCCACCTTGTCTGGACCGGCCCACGTGGTGCTTCTTCACAGGAGGCAAGGGAGGCCCCTGCAGCAGAAGCTGGTGCTGTGCGGGCTCGGCGGCCCCAGCCGCACCCAGCACCCCCTTTCCAGCCACCGCTGTCCGGTTTGGGACACCTGCATGGGGATCACTGTGGCAGAGGAAGGAGTGCGAGTTCTGCAAAGTTATTTTAACTTGATCGAATAAGCAGACCCCTGCACCCCCACCGTGCTGCTGGCTCCGCCCCCTCCCTCCCCCTCTCCCCTCTGCCTCCCAGATCCTCCGTCTGCCCTCTCCTCCTCATCTGCTGCAGCCTCGGCTCTCTTCTGAAGCCCGGAGGTGGATGGCTAGGCCGTCGGTTCCCTTGCTGACCCCAGTCGAGCACGTGGGGCTCGGAATCTGTCCCCTCCGCGGCCTCGGCCTCACCCTGCGAGTCTCCACGTGTCTTGATGATGTTCATTATCATTCCGTTTAAAAGCTCTCTAAAACCCGCCCTAACCTTGGCGCCTTCTGCTTTGACTTGTGGGCCGTAAGGAAGCCTGGCACTGGAATCCCGAACATCTGGAGCACTTCCTAGCCGCCGCCTTCCGTTTCCTCCGGCATCTGCGCCTGGGCCACCTCGTCCGGCCTCAGCTCGGACCTGCTGGGGGCACCTCCTTGGTTTCCATTTGTCCAAAAGCACCCGTACCGCGTCTCCACCTCTGAGGAACTGGGGGCACCGGGGTTTTGAGAACAGAAGGGGGAGAGGCCAGGCTCGCCCACAAGGCCCTGGGGGCGGGGGTGGCCGGGCCGGGCCTGGGGGGGGTACCAGGAGTCCCCCCAGGCAAGGATTTTGGACGGAGTGGCTGGGATTTCGGCCCCTGAACAGCCGACCTGCGCTTCCTGGGCTCGGAGCCGCAGGCCTGCAGGCCCCCCGGGAGGGGGGCGGGGGGTCCTGAGGCACGAGCGGCCGGCACACGGGAGCCCCGCCCTTCTGTGCAGGACCACAGCCTGGACACGCTGGGGAAGGAGGTGCAGCGCCTGTCCCGGCTGGAGGCCCTGCTGCGGAAGAAAGACGAGGAGCTCTCGGCCCTCCAGGAGGAGAAGGAGGCCTTGAGGAAGCAGCTGAAATCCCTCCTCCAAAGCAGAAGCAGAGAGATACTGGTACGTCGGGGCCCGGGGTGAGCGGGCGGCCTGAGCCGCAGGCCCCCCTCAGGCCCCATCATCCTGGAAGCCTGCCCCCTCCTCGGGGGCTCAATGTAGAAATAGGCCCCTGCACTTTGCTGCCGGCTTGCTTTCTTCCTGGGGCGGGTCACCCTCTGGACTCAGTTTCCTCCCCCGTAAGATGAGGGCCAGACCCTCTGAGATCCTGAAGGATGGAGGGCCCCCTGACGGTGGTGTCCCGGTGCCCGGCTTAGACATGGCCCCCGCGGGTGTGGTGGCTCAGATGAGTCACATCTGTTCTGCCTGCAGGATGTTCAGGGTCCTCGCCTATAACATGGGGAGGGGGTGCCGCCCCTTCCCAGGTCTGGGTAGAAGACTGAGCCAGGCAGCCGCTGGTAGGGCCCGGGAAGCAGTGGCCTGGTCTTTCTAAAACCTGATTTCTTCCACCCCTGAGGGCACAGCCCAGCGTTATGCTGGGGGCACACGTGAGGGGGGTGGGGCCCCCAGGTGCCACCAAAGTCAGACCAGACGCCGATGGTGCCGTGCCAGCAGCAGGGGCAGTAGGAATCTCAAGGGGCCTGGGGGCGTCAGCCTGCGTCCCTGCTACCCAGCCCCTGGGGGCGCTTAGAGGCGTGAGCCCCGGCCCCGCAGTGGCTGAAACATGGCCTGCTCACGTGCCCGTC